CAGGGCAAACACGGACTGCATGTAAATTTAATGGATTCAGTGCAAAACCCAGATAATGATGCCTGCCGTCTGCTGATCCTATTACAATGGACACTAAAAAAAGAAAGTTTGTGGGCAGACTTGCTCTGGAAAATTATGGCTGGTTTCTGTCATGGTGGTTTAGAAGAGTTAAAACATTATAAATCCTTCAAAGACACAAATAAAATATTCAGCTGGAAAATAGAAAAAATAAAGAAAATGAGTCTGAGAAGGACAGCGGCAGAAAAATAGAGAGACTGCAGACCATTAAAGCCTACATGTCCCTGTAGTTAATGAGAAACAATGAGGCAGTGGCTACAAATTTCAGAGAAACCAGAAGTCTGAAGAGCAGAAAAGGTGCTGACAGATGTGCTCTGGTTATTATATCTGAGAGAGTAACACCTCAGCTTTATCAGCAAGTCAGAGAGTATTAAAAGCAGGTGCAGAGTTAGGTTGTTCCTTAAAAAGACAAATAATGTACATATCTTGATATCTTGTACCTGTTGGGCCTCATTGGTCCTGAAGGCGTCACGCAATAACTCCACTGCAGCAGAAGGATCCACAAACCTGCGGGTAGAGCCCACCATGAGGGCAAACAGGCAGCGCAGCTCCTGCATGAAGGCTATGTTCCTCTTGTCCTGTTAACGTAAACTCATCAACTTCATCACCCTTATATCACAGCGGCAAAGCAAGAAGAGTTATGGGTTATCCTGTTCTGTATATACTCGTGACAGTAGCTTACTTACTGAATGGCTTTTACACTTCTCCAGTATTTTCTCAGACAGATGGTAGTTGAGAACCAGCCTCCTGAACACAGGCAGGTGGAAGAGTGACTGTAACAAGACAGCATAACAAGGCACATAAATCCAGCCGTCCACTGAAGGTTGGATATGGGAGATTACCAGATGGCAGATCATCGCTACAGCAGAACATTTATTGTAACTTGGTTGAGGAGAAAATGTGGACATATGTTTACAAATATGTTGCTTGATTAACAAAGAACACTGCTAATGTTCTGCCACTGACATTTAGCTTGCTGTTTGGAAATTTGCATGCGAGTGTTAAGTAGATTAAGTATTCACGCATCAAACAACCATCACAATAACTGAAAGGTGAGGCTAATGACATCAGTTCTATTTTTTTAACGCAATGCTCTGCAGGGAAAAAATAGTTGCTCGGGAATGGCTTGATGAAGACATGAGGCACAGGCAACGACCAAGCATCCAAACTTCCAAAGCATCAACTGCGAAAACCACAAAGAGCAACCAAAGTCCTGTATCCATGCCACAACGGGTCAGAGATATTTTGGCGGTTAAATAATTGGTGGAAGGTTTTGATGTTGTGGCTGATCTGCACATGAATACTGTGGTGTAGTTTCACCTGGATTCAAAACTATAGGCTAAAATAGGCCAACATCCTCTGTTTTTTTGTTATTCTTTTTTCTTCACATACAGTGTTGCGAAAGAGTACCTGCTCCCTTCCTAATCTCTTATTTGTGGACATTTTTCACACTTACATGTTTCAGATCATGAAAAAAAACTAGACAAAGATAACCTGAGCAAACACAAAATAAAGTTTTACATGATGAGTATATTTATTAAGGGGAAAAAAGCTATCCAACCCTATGTGAAAAAGTAACTGCCCCCTACAGCTAATAACTGCTTGTGCCACTCTTGACAACAAGAACTGTAGTCAAGTGTTTGTGATAACTGGCAATGAGTCTTTCATATCACTGTGGAGGAATTTTGGCCCACTCTTCTTTCCAGAATTGCTTTAATTCAGCTACATTGGAGGGTTTTTGAGGATGAACAGCCTGTATAACCCTTTAAAGCCTGAATCCTGAAATTATTGCCAAAAAATAATAATAAAAGACACATAAATTGGCTACATTCCGTATTTTATGGGTGCAATTTATTACTTAAAAATGTATTGAGCTATTTATTTAGGTTTTTTCGGGGGGAAAAAACGTTACATTGATGATGTAAAACAGGGGTGGGGGGAACTCCAGGCCACAAGGGCTGCTGTCCTGCAGGTTTTAGATATTACCCTGGGTCAACACACCTGAATCAAATCACTAGTTCATTACCATCTGAAACATGTAAGTGTGACAAATATGCAAAAGACTAAGAAGTCAGCAAGTCGGAAAATAAGGTTTTATAACGGTATATGTCAATAGCTTAATATTTTTACAGCCAGGAACAAACCCCATATCAATTTGTCATAAGATACCTGTGTTTCTCAGGATAAACTAAATGCATTAATACTAATCTTATGTGTCATGTGCAGGGCTGATGGGAGCTTATAAGCACTTCTGAGTATCAAGATATGCATTTACATTTCAGAGGGAAATTCAATTACGGTTTATCTCAGTTTTACTGCAATTTAGTCCACAAAGGATAATTGAGGAAATATGAGCTGACAACTGAGTCACGTGGTCACTCAGCCTCAATCTGATAGCATAAAAATTTTCTAGGGGAGACGACGAGTCAAGCTCTGTTGAATCTACAACAGCTCAGTTGTAAAACAAGGAAGTGACACTGGTAAAATAAACAGACAAAAAAAAAGGTATGATCTGAACACCATTTGTATTCTAACAATACGGCCTTATTTCCCCCATTTCAATTTCCAGATAAAAGCCCGTCATATGCAGGTGGGACTTCTTAACGGATATGGAAGCATATCTGAGTTTAACAGAGAGAAACAATCACAGCCACACTTCTGTTTACTTTATACTCAGGCTGCCACCGCTCACTCCGTCCTCGCTCGCTATTTAATTATCAATATAGCCGGTGTATCTCAGTTAGGGTTCTGGTTTCTGCCGAGCTACCTGATAGGCCTGGAAAAGTTAAGTTAGCTGGAATGGACTTATAATAGAATTAAGAGCTCAGATTAATACTGTATGCTCAAGCTCACCGGGAAGATGTTTAACTTTATTAGCATGATAGAGGGTTGATGAAAAGGTGAGATAGAAGGGAGATTCTTGTGTAGCTGAACAGGTTCTGCTTTCGCTTTAAAAAGATGTCTGTACTGTACATTTTAACCCACTGTGGTCAAATTTTACCATGGAAAAACTAGGTGACAGATATTGCTGAAAGCAAAACAGACATGTGATGATTGACACTGGATCAAGAGAAGTTAGAAATCTTTGAAAGGAAACTCCAAGTCTATAAATGTTTGTTGAACTAAGTGCAAGAGCTATTTAGGTCTTAGGAGCAACAGAGGCGAGACTGTTAGAACAGGTGGAGATCGGTGATGAGTTTCATGCAACAGAATACATGCTAGGTGTCGCTATGTTTTCTGAATATGAATCTGAATACTTTTGTGGTCAAGTGTCATATGGGTCTAACATCGACATGTGTTATATATACACTACATTAAAAATACAACACTAATTTATGTTAGTGGGTATCAGGGTTACTACAGTCAACTAAAATTAAACTTAAAACTGTTTACTGCTTAAGCTATTACAGCTTGGCTGATGAGGCTTTGGTGGACTTGTTTTTGAGACGATAGATGTCCACAAGATTGTGAGTCAGCTGCTTTCAAAAAAAGTAGTGTTTTTATTGTAATACCTGAACTGATTTTCCTAAATCTTGCCTCTGACATATGCCCTATACAATGATAATTAAAAAGACTGAAACTCAAAATGCTTTCAACCAAAAATGAATCAAGAAAATCAATTTAGGAAACCAAATGAAACAACTTAAAACAAAAAGTAAAAAAAA